CAAGGAATTTTGGGGGGTAGTATGAAAAAGATGGCGGATTTTGGTAGCTTAAAGCCTGGTGGAGCTCGAAATGTGATTGGGGAGGTGAAAAGTGAGAAAGAGCCGTTCAGGTCTTTCGGAAGCGACAGTAATTTCCGGAATTACGTGGCCTAGGTAGAGAGGCAGAGAGATAGAAACGGGTATTTTCATCAAAAGCTAAAATATCACAATTTTATTACGCTTCATTTAAATTTAGATTAAATTTAGCTCATTAAATAGAGAATCCCAATTTATTGGAATAGGAAGATGCAAAGGGAGCAAGAGCTGTCCAGATTCTTCCGGAAGCCACAGCAATTTCCGGAATTACGTGGCGTAGTTCGAGAAGCAGAGAGATACATACCGCGATTTGCATCAAACGAGAAACGAAGAGAATCGTATTCATTATATTCCAACTGGCAAGATTAAAACAGAAACCTGCAAAGTGAGCACGAGCTTTACAGGCCCATCGGAATCTACAATTTACCGGAATTACTTGGCCTATATAGAGAGCCAGAGCGAAATACACGTTCAACCGAGCAAGCAACTATAAAAATCCTATTCCGTTACATCCCAGCCTACAAAATTACTATAGAAAAATCTAAGACGTTACGAAACCAAAAATTACAAACGATCGATCGCCAAATATAGAAAAACCTTTCCAGAAAACCCAGCAGCAACCCCCCCCCTCACCCCAATCGAGAGCGGAAACGTTCTTGCAACTAAAAGCTTGGTGCCCAGCTCCCAACCATGGGTGGAGCAAGAACAAAGCGCAAGGAGGGTTTAGTGAGTGGGGTGGGGTGGAGGAGGGGGAGTGCGTCGTCAATAATAGGCCCCTAGGGACCCTAGCAAGGAGGAGGAGAAGTTTTAGGGGGCTGGAAAGGGGTGGAGAACCAGGGGGAGAAGGAGCAGGACGGGGCTGAAGGAGGGTGAGAGGGGGGAAGGGGGAAAGCTAGGGGCCTTCGAAGCTAGGGGGAGAGCTAGGGCCCCTTGGGCCCTCTGCCATATTGATGTCGGGGACGTGGCCACCCCTCTAGAAGAAACAGGTGCACTCTCGCCCGGGCTCGGGGCTGAAATTCCCTTCCTTTAGGCCCCTTCACTAGAGACGTGTGTGTGGATCTCAACTCAACATTGAATTTTTCGGGATCTTGGATATTCTAAGGAGCTTCAGAAATGCACATCTAAGGAGATCAAAATCCCCTAAAAAGGCTATCTTTCCTACCCCTTTAAAACCGAAAAAACCTTCAAAATTGTTTCTTTAAGCTATTGAATTACTTCTAAAGGTAAATCTTTATTTATTGCGTAGCATAGCGCCGAAAGTAGTCGTTTATTCTAATGCTATTTTAGTAATTTTCTATACAGAGATTCGGAAAAAACCGGGGAGTGGCAAAATCAGCTGCTGCCAGCCGGAGGTGGCTGTCGTGATTGATAGGTTTTTAGCACCCAACAGCTCTCTCAAAAACCACTTAATTCAAGTCAGATACCTCATTAAGACTAAAGTAAAAAACATTCACCTGAACCATAATTGCAACTGGGTTTTGAATCCAAAAATAGCGTTATTTTTAAACCTACTCGAGGTATCTAAGAATTACATTTTAACCGTTTCTACCTGGTAGCATTTTCAAGGTATCTAAAAATTATTTTTCCTGCTTTTTCCCTAGTTTCAAGCTAAGTCTAAGCCTAAGCCTAAGCCTAAGCTAAGCCTAAGCCTAAGCCTTACTCGAGGTTTCTAAAAAAATAACTTTTTTAACCGGTCCTACATGGTAGCATTTTCAAAGTGCCTAAAAACTAATTCTTTTTCCTGATTTTCCTCTAGTTTCAACCCAATTTCCAACCCCGGACTTTACTATTTCAAATTCCACCCGCCAAAGCGGTACGCGTTACTGCCAGGGTGATTTATAGTAATAGCCAGTGCCGATTCGCCCCCTCCAGGAGTGGACCACCCATTTTTGGCCACGCCGGTCCCCCTCCACCTCCAAGGCAAGCCGAGCATTTTTCCTCGAAGATTGATGGGCCCCGGTCGTGGGAGGCCACCCTGAAAAATTCTTATTTTCTGGAATGAAGTGGACAGCTAGAAGGGGTGGGACTTGTTGAGAAATGTAAAATTACGCTTTAAAATTGGTCAACAAATACCTTTAAAGCCTTACCTTCAATCTTAAATAACTTAAAAAATCGCTAGTGTTTAAACTCCAATTGCAAGACAAAAAAAGGGATGCGTCGGACTCTTCGATAATAAAAATACTATGCTTTGCGGCTCAAAAAAAGACTAAGTAAATACAGTAAGGTTTTTAAGAAGTCCCGAAGGCGACCATATCGCAAATAGGGTAATACCTTTAAATTTGCATAAGGAACACTTGATTAAACTCTAGCTGAAAAAATGAGCCGGAGACGGAAAACGGGAGGTGAGCATGACTTCTCGAGGATCAGGAAACTATTCCGAAATTTTCAACGATACCTTAAAACAACCCCAAAAAACACCCAGACTTCAAACTCCAACTAATAGCTAAACCACTTAAGCCCCTCCAAGCCAATTGATCGAGTCGCCCGGGGAGCACCAGAGAGTTTTGTGTGTGACGAGTCAGTTGGGAAGGGGAAGGAGTCGCAGCCAGTCAGTCACTCGGTGGTTACAGCATTTGGCCAAGTGGCCAACCAAGGGGGAGGAAGAGGAAAAGCTTGTGTCCCCGCACCGCAGCTTCTCATATATGTATGCATACATCCGAATGCGACGCCAAAAAGCTGGCGCTCGGTGGTGCTAGCTAGCTTTTTGGGGAGCAGGGAAGGAAGGGGGAGCTGACATTTGGATATCTGAGTCACAGAAAAACACATGGCGGAGCAGATTTGAAATTCGAGAGCAGTTTTTCGTGGTTGGATGAAGCCGAAGCTGAAAGTTAAAAGCGATAGAATTTTAAGTTTGAGTTAAAGCATTTTAGAGGTAGCTTCACAGGAAAACAACAATTTAAAGGAATTTCTTATGGATTCCAGCTTTGGATTCCTTGAGCTGCCTACGCAGGGACGTAGCGTAATACAGGCCCCGGGGGCCCGGGGCCCCCCCCGAAATCGGCCGGGGCCCGAAAATTCATAAGGGGGACCCTTATGATTTTATTTTCTCAAAATTTTGCTGCCTGCGGCGCCTATTTTTTCACGTTTTTACTGTTATTTGTAGAGCTATGTAGCCTTTTTTTTCAAATTTTTTTGCCTTCGGCGCTGTTTTTTCGTTAAATTTTTGAGTTTTTCGTAAAAAATTTTTCGGGGCCCCGAAATTTTTTCGGCTACAGCCCCCTGGTGCCTACGTCTGCAATGCGAAACGCGTACGCACGCCTTTGCTTTGCGTAATGTGTTAAAAATTTTCAACGACGGTCAAGCGCGACGCACGCTGGCACGGAAAGTTCGGGTCATGCAGAGCCATTGAAATCGAGAATCGTTCCTTACCTGTTCCTTTGAAGTTCCTTTTCCTATCACAATTCATTTAAAACGCTTTTTAGCCGAATTCGAAAGCCTACAATCATCAAACGTCGGATTTTTGGGTCTTTTCAGACTATCGGACCCCTTTAACAACACGGTTTTGGCATAGAAAATTAAAAACGCTATTTTTCCATGTACCTGCTAGCATCTTCGGATCTTTATGCTTTATGCTGGATCTTTCCTAATTCGAAATCTATCCCCTCACCCGCCTTGTGCCTTGCCAATCCTTTTAGAATTTTAGGGTTGGCGGTTTCTATCTAGCACCATTTTAACTACTTTACATTGAGTTAGAGAGCCTAAAATGAATTTTTGACTTTTCCATACCTTTCCAACGTCTATAAGCAAGTCTAGATTTGCACGACACTTTCATAACTATTTTAGATCTCGATCCTAAATGCACGCAACTTAGAATCCCACCAGACAGCTTAGGATCCAAGAATCGGTTAAAAATCCCTTTTAAAAACTCCATTTTGGCATGAAAAATCAAAAACGCTTTTTTTCCAGATATCTGCTAAAATGCTCAGATCTTTATTCGCAACAATCCTACCATACCACCCGTTCCCTAATTCGAAATGGAGCCCCCCTTTCCAATCCCTCCCCCTTGCTCCACTCATCCAAGCATGCGTGTGCGGATTCCTGTTCCCTTGATCGGACAGCTCTTTGGGCTCGTTTGATTTTATAGTTTCGGTCATCGGGCGGGGGTGGAGAAAGCGCGGTCGGGAGGTGCTGCAGGATAATGTCTGTCGTTTTAAGGGACAACCGATTAATCCGTGAAGCAAAAAGTGCGGGTCGGGGGAGAACATCTCATCAAACAGCCGCACGTGGAGTTCAACAAAACGAGCATGGAGCTCGAGAGTTTGAACCGTCATTTGGTTTCGAATCGGTGTTTCCGGGTTTTGGGAAGGTGGGTACTGTATTTCAGAATCTAGAAAGTCTTAAAGTGTTTTCCACACTTAACACATAATTTACCAGTTTTAACCACCAGGAAGTTCAAACAGAGTTCAATAAAATTTTATTTATTTATTTTGTACCAGTTACCTTAGGGGTCACTAGCAATTTTTTAAAACATTTTCAAACTTACAACCAAGCCATATCTCATCCAGTTTTGCGCCCCGGAAGTCCTCACGAAGTTCAAGAACCTCAAGAAATGTATTTATCAAAAACGTGTCTATTCAAACTGTTTGTTGGTTTCAAACCACTGTCAGGAGTCCTTAGGAGCTTGAATACTTTACGAGCCTTTTAAATTATCTTAAGCCATTTAAGAACACATTTTTATGCAAATAGCACCACCCGGAAGTTGTTACCAATCTCTAGAACCACGATTTCAACCCCAAAAAACGCATCCAATTTCCCCCCAAATTCAGCACAACCTTCTTCCGCTAGATCACCCGCCCGATTTGTTGATTTTAGGTTCGGGCGATCAGGCCGACCCCAGCTCGCGTAGAAGAAACGGCACCCTGTTTTCGGGAGCTCGATTCACGGCTATCAGCCTCTGGCTCTCGGCGGCAGACCCTCTCATTCCTATGCTCAATGACATCATCGCCTTTTTTGCCATTTGCTTGATAACCCGGCAAATTGCTGACCCGGCGCCGCCACACGTTGGTACTCAGGTTCCGAGCGCCTACTATGAGCTGAATCGGACCGCCGTCACGGCCTACTGGCATAATGTGCTGATGAGATCGTTGATAAAGGTCTGACAGCTCTTTCCATGCTCATGCTCATCAATTTATTTAGTCTAAACTCGAGCGAGAGAAGAAATATTTGAATCGAATTGAAGCCGCTTTGGCTGATATTTGTCTCAGTGAAGCCAAGACGTTGGTGGATAGACTCCGATGTTTAGATACTGCCATTTCGCAAAGGAGCGCGAAAGACTTCACTTATGAGGTCAGAAGCTCTAAAAATTTATTGCTCTACTTGGTTTTAGAATGTATGTGACAAAATTCCACGCGAAGCCTATGTACGCGAAGAAAAGCCTATTTTAATTGAACCGGCTCCTCCCCCAATAGCCTTCGGAACTGTAAAATTCACGATGAAACGCCGCTCTCGCACGAGGAAGAAGACAAAAACCTTCCGCATCAAAAAACGCAGAAAATCTCGACGAAGACTTGAGCTGCTCCAGAATCGAGCGAAGCAACTTCAAAAAGAACAGAAACTTTCCAAGTTTGTGCACTATTTGAAGAGCTTCAAAACGGAACGAAGCTGGAGGAGAAAACGGGAGATTACCGCCAAGCAATTGAAGGATATGCCAGAAGGTGAAATCTAATGCTATTGCTAACATTAAATTTCAGATTATACAAATTTTGGCAAGGATATTTATGCTATGATTTTCGAAATAGAAGAACATGAAAGGAAAGTCGAACGAATTAATAATTTTTGGTCTATGGTTACTAAAGAAAACGCGAAGGTATTTGAGAATTAAGCGCTAGAGAATAGCAATATCTTTTAGCTTATTCAAAATGCGAATAAGAATATAGATGTTATTGCTCCGAAATTATCATCGAAACGCCGATTGTTAGAAGGAGCTCTCGCCAGAGTTCAACCCTTATTTGTCGGTGACAACAAAAAATCTAAACAACTCGAGTTTAGCATAAACAGCAATCAAAGAATCGGAAGACGATGCCGACTTCCGTGTTGTCGCCTAGATTTTTCTCTAGTTCAGCGTCAGATTATGCTGATGTGTTGTCGCCAAATATTTTTGGGTTACGTCCGGGTGGAATTCTATCACTTTATGATCTCGGTCAAGTGCGTTCTTTGTAAAAGTCGAAAAATTAATTCTAGCATGGCCGCGGTGCCTTTGATCTCTCAATGACTAAATTTCTCTTGGAAATATCGGGCAGCGCGAAAGCGATTCGACATATTTATGCGGATATGGGGCCGGAGATTCGGTAAGTAGCGTAGGCTTACCGGTTTCTGAACGAAAACTATTGAGGCGAATCAAGGAAGAAGTCTATCCAGATACTATGGAACTCGCTGAACATACTTTAAATGGACTAAAAGCTAGGAGGATGATGGACAATCGGTTATTTTTCTACTAATTCTTAATTCCCTTCAGACAGCAATGCGAATTGAAACATTACGGCTACACCCATCTATCCACGAAACAAATCCAGCTAATTTACAATAAAAATAACAAATGTAGGTTTCTACGTTAGACATCCACCATCACAGTCTCTCGGGAACTTCCGCTTAATTTAACGGCTTGGGACGACATGAGATGGGAGGATAAAGAGCAGAGACTGGAGAGAATGCTGTGGAACATGCTATCCCTGGCGACTAATCATCTTCAGCCACCAGCGCCACAACAAGGTTTGCGACAAACGAAACGAAAGCAAGGCATTTAGGAGCTTTCGTAACTGAGAAGCCGATTGGCCCGGAACCGCCAAGCCCAATTTTCCGTCGGAAACGAGAGGTAAGCTGCCGAATTCTAGGTGAAGTCACTTTTTATAGTCTCCGGAAGAAGGACCTCCTGGGTCAACGACTCGAGTAAATGGTATTCTGTATGAAGTCCTTGAGCCATATTCATTTGATGTTTTATCAGGTTATCCAAAGCTCACCCAGGTCTTATAACAAATCTTTAGGACTCGATGCCTACTTGGAAGCTTTGGTTTTATCGCCCAGCGCTTTCACCGTCGAGATTTTTCAGCCAGAATTGTTGATTGTAAGTCTAAATTGTGTAGAAGAAGAAAGATCATCCCATTTAGCTTGGTCTATTATCACCACGAGCTTTCAATGCTGTCATTTTATCACCTGGAGCCTTGATTGCTAGAATTCTGAGTCCTATGGGTTTTAAAGTCGAGGTACCTTCCCAACTCCAGCTAAAAAACGCTAAACATTAAGGTCCTCTCACCAAGGGCCCTTGGCGCATGGGTATTAGCTCCAGAGGGGTTTGTCGCCGATATTCTAACGCCAACGTTAGTCTTTCTCTACCGTTTAAAGGCATTATAACTTTAGTTTCCTTGAGCCTAGGGTTCTGTCGCCAATTGGAGGCATCGTTTCAGTATTATCACCAAGTAAGGAAAATGAAAGCAAGGGCTTACAAATGCTGCGTTTCAGATATCCTTGGCCCACATATTGGCGGTACGGATAACCTCGGGATTACTGTTTTGAGCCCAAATATTCTATCGCCAAGAATTGCGGGGCGCGAGCGGCTGCTTGTCGAGGTACACTTCGGAACCTTCTTTCTAAAGCATACAACAGATTTTATCCCCACATATTCTCGGAGGAGAACATTTGCACGCCCATCACCGTGGCGGGCATGAACCCGAAGAGGACGATGATGAGCCAGCGAAGGGCGGTCACGCTTCGATTGAGCTGATTGATCTGCATGGATTGGCTCATGACGTCGGCCCTGGTATGTTCCATGTAAACCGTCAAAGATCAAACAAAAGGTTTTTCCATCCTTCTAATGAACCTTTTCAGACGACCCCATTACCCTCGAAAAGATTATCGGTCGCGGCGAGGAATGGGCGGAGGAAGAGGTTATGCCAGGTCAGCTTAAAGAGATGAGGACGGCATCTGTCTTGGGGAGGGGGGGTTCAACAGGTCCCAGCGCGACCGGCGGCGAGAGAGGGCGCCCAGGGGAGAGGCGCAGAGACATTTTCTTTCCCGCGCGTAATCGATTGACTTATGCCGCCCCTATCCCTTTAAAGTTTCTCAGGCCGTTTTCCTTCATCGGCTATAAGCGTTCAAAACCCGTGCCTAGATGACCGGCATCTTATGGAGTTCCTTGGAATCCCCCTGCCACCCTCACACGCAGAGGCCCATCTATCACATTTGGGCGGAAGAGGCCGAGGCAGGCCTTGGCCATGCAGCTGTGGAAGAGCAAGCAGAGTTGGCAGCCAGGGAGGGAAAATAAAGATCATAACCCAACCCGCCATATCATCATGCAATACTAAGAATCAAACTCTTTATTCCTAGCTGACTAGATTTCTGGTCGAAAGCAATGTGCAAGTACCATGAAATTACCCGAGGAGAGAGAATGACGGCCCAACACTTCGATACTTGTGACAAGGGGATGGGAAGACTGGTAGATATAACCGGGGCGGGGTTACTATCAACAGCAGAGTTAAGGGAGCCCTGTCAGCAGTGCTTATACACGGTTAACCGCATATACACGGCGCCCAAGGGCCGAGAGGTGTTATGAGCAGATGCTGACAGAGCCCTTTAAGCGAACCGTGTGTAGTTGTTGTCATTAAGGGGGGGGCTTGTCGAGAACTTTTTTTTGGTTTGGGAGTACAGACTTCGCACAGTGAGTGGTGGGGGAACGAGTACAGACAATCATTCGTGAGAATGCGTTGGGTAGAGGGTTCGGATGGTACGGTCCATGCCGACTTCGACGGCCGTATCGATGGGCTTGACGATGAAGGGGATGGCAGCCAATCCGATCAGCGTCGTAGTCCACTTCTGAACCGAAGGAGGCCAACGGGTAGTCCTGTAAATGACACATTCATATAATCCAAGACAAAGAAGCACCGGAGGCGTTAACGGTGATGAAACAAACCTTTTCAGAGCCATTCCTGTAAAGTGACAGAGACGATTGATGGTAAATCCAGGGATCGCCACCGAAGCCAGCGCTTGCCAAACGAAGGTGTCGGCGGCGGCGAGTGCGACCAGCTTGTTACGCTCATCTGGCGACTTCCATTGGCGCTAAAAATTAAATATAATAGACGCCGATATACTACCAACAAGTTTATCAACAGCCAACAAAAATTACTCACCATGTGTACTTTTCTGCTCTTGTCCAGGGCATCGGCGCAAACGTAACCCATTGCAACGACGTACGTGGCCTTGACGGCCACCGATGGGATCATAGACCGAAAGGCTTCACCGACTTCATTAGCGTATCCTAAACGAAAGTACAATTCGATTTTGAAAACCAAACCTAGGAATCGAATGGGCGTATCTCTGTAGAAATCAATCTGCTGAAGTTCCTTTTCGACGGTCGACTCGCTGCGTTTCCCCCCGCCATCCGGCGCCATTCTGAAAAAAACCGTAAGCAGCAATGAAAACGGGAGAGTTGAAATGGAAAACAAGAAACGAAAAAAGAAATGAAATGAGAGTTCCGTTTTTTTTTGAAAGAGAGAATTGTGGGCGCAGGGATCGGGATTTACCACAAGGGTTGTTGGGTGTTTGTAGCGTTGCGTAGTGATGGGGTGATAACGATAAGGCTAATCAGTGACCGGAAAGGGGAGAAACAATGTTGTTTGTGGAAGCTTTTCTAAGGAAAAATATTGTAATTTTAAGGGCTACAAAATACCTTTAGAGGCCATATGATAAAATCTTGTAAAGTATGCATTTAGGGACGAAACTACCTCGCTAAAGAGGCGTAAAATCGGGAGCAGTAATAAAATGCAGGCTTCAGGATTCGTCTTTAGAAACAAATCAATTTTTCGATTGTTGTAAGAACTGAATAGTGAAGATTTAGTGGTAGATGAAGATATTTGTCACGTAAAGCGTAACGTTTGCAACTGCAAAATTCGCTTGCCCTTTATTCATTACAACTAATCCCTGCAAATGCCGAACAAATCGGCATTCACCGCGGAAGTCCAGTAGTTTGCGTAAAAAATGCATCCCGAGGTGGTACGGGGGCGAGCTGGTAGCTGAACATACAAAGATGACGGTCATCAGGCAATAAAAGCGTGCCATGGTCGACGGTCTACATTCTATTCCCCTCGAATGGCCGTCGTCAAAGCGATTGTATTACTCGCTATACTTTGCCAGATCTCTCTTGTTGAGGCCGGTAGGCGTAGGGGTAATCGCTCTCGATGGGGCAACATGACCTCGGATCAGGTCGACGACTTCAAGAAGGTATCTAGAAATCGAAGCCCTACCTTGATCTGTTATTTAGTCGCTCCGTCACACAAACATTGATCGGTTCCACAAGGCGCTTGATAGACTTCGCGACAGGAACGCTAAAACCGTAGAGACTCCGGAAGAAGCGGAAGAGCTCGAGACTAGAATTAGGGTATTTTAAGGCCATTAGGCAACGAAGCTCTTTTAGAAGATCAAAAACCACACCCGTTCCGGTAGAGTGCACGAGCATGGCGATTCTCTGAGCCAGGTACAAAAATTCTTGAGCCAGCTTATGCTCCTCAGGTTAATGAAGAAGCCGGTGTCGCGGAAAATCTCTACCAAGGCGATATTGCGCTTGATGAGTAAGCTAAAAATTCATAAAACTGATGATGTACACCCTTTAGTACCCAAGTCGACCAGATTCTCGGAGATTATCTTGACGGTCCGTCAGTGGCAAGAAAGAAAAGACAGGTTTTAAGAAATTAAATTTGTTCAATTAAATATTATCAGGCTTCTGCTATCTACACTCGTTGGTCGCCAGCTTTCTACTATTACTTTGACTCATCCCTGTCGGCAGCGGCTCGCAACGTTGCGCAGCTGGCTATTGACTTCTGGCAAAACTCGACTTGCATTACTTTTGTTCAAAGCACGACCAATGCGTTAGTTAATTTCACTAACCCTATAGCTTTTTTACAGTAACCGAGTGCGCTTCTTCACTGGTCAGGGCTGCTATTCGTACATTGGAATGATCGGTGGTGTCCAGGATTTGTCACTCGGTGCCGGTTGCGAAAGCGTGAGTCATGAATACAGTACAGTAGCGCTTTCGCTATAGGTTGGTACTGCTGCTCACGAGATTGGGCATGCGCTTGGGTTCTACCACGAGCAGTCTCGACACGATCGTGATAATATGATCTCGTTGAATCGTGCCAATATTGCTGCATCGGCTTTGGATCAATTCAATAAGGTGTTTCAAGGCTATAGTGTAGTACCGGGTGTTTTCCAGGAGACTACCGCTACTAACAACAACTACGGTATGCCATACGACTACGGTAGCGTGATGCAGTACAGTGAGGGTGGATTTTCGAGTAATGGGCAACCAACTATGATTGCTAAGGTGAGAGGAGAAGCCATACAAGCTCTCTTTTACAAAAACATTGCTACCAGAAACGCTAATATTTTAGATCACGCCATACCAAGATACCATGGGTGGAGATTTCGTCTCTTTCTACGATATTTCCATGATGAATCAGCATTACCAGTGCAAGGGTCGGTCACGGCGGCCAGTTTTCAATGTCGTTTTGTTTAGCCAAATGCACGTCGGGGGCCACCTGTCTAAATGGGGGTTTCCGGAATTCCCGGAATTGCGCGGCTTGTATTTGCCCGTATGGATGGGGAGGCGCAACATGTAACCAGAGGGTAAGAAAGAAAGCACGATTTCTGATTTGAAACTGATTTTATAGACACCCGGTTGTGGGTCTGATTTGACGGCAACTGCTACGGTGCAGACCTTGTCGACTTCAGTTGGAGCTGGTACAGCTGTGGAGCAGCCAACATTTGCTACGTGTAACTACATGATTCAGGTATAGCAGAGTGATAGTCATTAATGGGAATAGGAAGACATAATCTATACGAGTTTCGGTAGTTTGAAGATGCATTTTAAGCTTTATTAACATAAAAATCAGATCCAAAAAATTAATATTCTCTTACAGGCTCCGGTTGGCCAGAAAATCGAAGTCGTGCTCACAGCTCTGGGCAGGCAACAATGCATTGCCGGATGCCCCTACACCGGAATCGAGCTGAAAGCTATGAGCGACCATCGCTACACCGGTATCCGGTAAGTATTCATCGAATCAGCGATCATAAAATTGAATCAATTTAACACAAAACCCTATTGAGTTTTCAGTTATTGCTGCACTAACGATGCCACTACAAAAATCGTTTCTGAAGCTCATCTGATGCCCGTGATTGTCTATAATCGTTATTCTTCCAGCACCGTCACCCTGACCTACAGATACGGTAGCTCAAAACGGATTTAATTTTGTAAAAATCATCTTAGTGGCTGCGTCCACACCATCGACAGTCACCGTCTCGCAAGTCCCAGATGCCGGAGCAACTTATACCGGATCCAACGGCGGTACGGTTACCGTAGCAACCACAGCCAAGCCATCCGGAACCTGTGCGGAGAATGCCAAGTAATATGCAAATTTAATAGCCGAGTTAGCTTATTCAAAATGAATCTTAAGTTGGGTAAGCGCCCAATTTTCAGCTGTGCCACCTGGAATGCGAATGGCTTCTGCGCTTCTACCGTCTATACCCTTGCCGATAAACAAGCAAACTGCCCATCTACTTGTGGGCTTTGTAATTCTGGAGTATCCACGACCACCTCGAAGGCTGCTACCAGCGCCAAGGTGACAACAACAACCAAAAAGGCCACTGTCACATGCACGGATAATGCCAAGTAATTTTTCTTTATTGCGAAAATTAAGTAATAGTTGCGCCACATGGAACGTGAACGGTTTCTGTACGTCCCCGTACTACACTGCAGCCGATAAGAAGACCTATTGCCCGAATCTCTGTGGATTGTGTGCATAATTTGTGTGAGCGGGAGCACTTATAATTAATAAGATCCAATAATAAATCTTTGTGAATCCGAGATTAATACAAAGATAATTGACAAAATAACACCAGTGCCAAGCATAATAACGATAGATTTTGTAATTCCGAATTAATGGTAATAACTTAAGCCTAGATACCGCAGTTACGCTCAATGGCTCTCAGTCCAATTTCAAAATGTCAAAGTTTGATAGAAATATAGAAATTCCGAATTCAGACATTTTAGAATCTCGATTAAAGATGCCGAAATATGAAAATTTGATAAGACAAAACTCTCAAATTTTTAAGCCTTAAGCATGGAATTTGGCTATTTTTGCGGATGATTTGTGTCGTAAAACCGACATATTGAAATGCCGAGAAAGAAAACATGAATTTCATCGTTTTGGTATCATTTTCAAAACTATTTCCACTATTATTTTTAAACAAATCGCTAGGTTTTTAGGTCCAGAGACGCGGTGGTTCGGTGAGTCTAGCTTGGCCCAGAGACCCAGACCTACCGCTGAATATTTTGCACTGGCGAGCCCTCGTGTAGGTAAAAACCTCATGGTGGTCCCCGCACAGCTTCCCTTCTTCCCTCTATCCGCCTAGCCTACCCCCACAATTCAGTTCCACACAACGCCCGAATCAAAATCGAAGGTAAAGAAAATTCTATTACAAAGTTTCTAAACATTCATTCGTAGCAGGTTTTGGTTAGTAAATCTTGCATAAATTTGAAGGCCTAAATAAAAAGAATACAGTGCTTCTTAATAAATTTATTGTTATGCAAAAGAGTTGGTATATCAATTCGCCATTTATTAAGCTGTTGTAAATGCACTTTGCGGATAATAATCGATGCCAGGATTTATCGCCGTTAAAAAATTTCCGCTTATTTGCTGAGGCTCAAAAAGTTTAAATTATTTAATAGGTTGATGTCGTCGGATGCGGCATACTATAAAAAACACGCAATTCATTTAGGCTCAGGCTCGACTTTCCTAAAAATTACAAGCAACATTTAATGATTTGGCTTCAAAGGTTTTCAACAAGAAGGCTCCCCCAACCTGTGTAGGCACCTAATCACTTTTCCGAGGATATATTTACGATACGAAGCAGTAACCGTGAGCAAGGTAACGGATGTAATTGTAGTATGTGCCGACTGGATACCTGCTAATAGGTTTATCGACCCTAAATATATTGAAAATCAAAGGAAAACGGACAAACATTGTGGCAGCCAAATCTGGGCCCAGACGGTGAGCAAAACGGCAACGTATGGTGCTCCCAACGTTGCGAGAGGGATCGATACCTAGGAAACGAGTATTATTTAGTACTATATACTATACCATATTTTACTACAATTAACGGGCTCAAAAATTATAATTTTGACTCACCCCAATAATCAAAACCCGGAAAAATTTACGATGCATCCGCTTGGTCTTCCTGCTCATTGTAGAATGATGGTCGTTGAGTAGGGTATAGGAATGCCAAACGAGGAAGATAACCTGAAATCCTACTATATATAAAAAATAGTGTCTGTGTGTGTCTGTGTGTGCCACTTTGCATCCACTTCCTTTTGTCTGTCCGGAGGATATCATGAGGGAGGATCCGGAGGATAGCATGGGCATCTCTCGGGTTGGCCCTTTTGCAATAAATGTAGTATCTCGATAGGGGATGAATTTTAAGGTATGGATGATACGTCATTAGTTGCGTAATGGCCTGGAGATGACTGCAAGCATACGAGATTTAACAAAAGCACCTATTTTCAACATTAAATTTAAGTTTTTGTGAAGCCTTCTTTGTTAGGAATAATTAGCATAGACAGGAAGTTGGGACTCAACTATATAAATGCACAGGAGAGGTTGTTTTTCATTTTTGGTCATCCGAAATTAGGACAATTATGCAAAGCCAAGGATAAAATGTGGTCTGACGGGGCCAGGGTTGAAAAGTCGCGGAGCGGCTTTTCAACCCTGGTTAAATTTAATATAATACGATTAATGTAATACACCTTACCAGAGGTATCCCATAACAAATCACTGCCACTAATGAAGTTGCTAATATCGTGAAGCTCGAAAATTCAATAAATGGAGGTAACAATGGCCTACGGTCTATGATATAAAGTGTATCCAAAGAAAACATGTAGGATAGTGAAGGATCTTCCTATAAATAATAAAAAAACTGATTGATATGGCTTAGACACCTGGACAGTAGCGCGTAGAATATCAGAATTAGGTCCTTTTTCAATCGGCGCTGTTAGAGCTCCAATCATAAACCAGACTGTTGGTACCAAGTAGTGAACCAGAGAAATGCCGAGAACTGTGCGTTTCGAAAGGTGAAGACGACTCTCAAGAGGTAGCAGGACCTGATGACGATAGGCAAAACATTGGAGGGTAGATGCCAGCATCCCCACTACGAACATGGCTCCGAAACACTAGAAAAAACGGTAGAAGCTGGAGGTTGCCAAGGCTTACCAGCAGCACTCTTGGATGAATAAGGTTTAAGATGCCTAACATACTACCAGCCAAGGTCGGCAAATAGAATTCGGGACATACCCCGTGAAAAATCAGCTCTTGGAGGATCGCCCAGAACTAGATTAAGATAATGTAAAAATTAAATATATTTTAGAATACCTGAAACCAAGCCAAATGCCAACGATATGATGACGCTTTCTCTGACGGGGTCTTTATTATAATCCATAGCGTAAATATATTAAATGGCGTCCCGACAACAAGGAGTACGTTTGAAGACGTTTTGAAGAAGGTTGGATCCTCGTAATTTGTTGGTGAGTTCATTGCTAGAAATTCCAGGTGGTCCATAAAGCCAAAGCGAGCCGTTTGGCAGGTGTAAGTTTTTTCTTCGTTCACGGTTCGAACATTCCGTCCGAAGGCACCAATCAGGCGGACGGCGCAGTGTTTTTGGATGATTACTACGCTTCTCTCTCTCTATCTCTATCTCTCTCTCTCTCTTTCCCTCTCTGTTCTGTCTCTCTCTCACTCCTCGCTCTCTCTTTTGGCTACATTGTCCTGTACCTGTATTTCACACTTTGGCACTCGATCTTCTCACATTCAAAGAGGCAATAAACACCAGGTTTACGAAATGTCAGACCATAATTAGGATCAATTAATTCATGCTCTACCTGCCGCTTAATGATGTGTTTCGAGCGGGTCAAAGTATTTTTAGAACGCGTGGAAAGTTCAAAAGAATGTTATTTGCTTCGAACTTGACAGGCAAAGTCTAAAATTACCCACTACATTCCAAAACCACATTATCCAATGTAATGACTGTTGGATCCATGCAACGGCTAGAAAACCAATAAAACACGATTGAGCCGCATATGCCAATAACTATATATCGTATGCTATGCATAACTAAGCTATATATCGATAAAAATTCTCAAAAAAATTAGCCACCAAATTCGGACAAAACGGCCGACGAAGGGATTTGTCATTTTGGGGCCCGAAATCCCAATTTGACATCTTTCTAAATCGATCAGGAAAAATGTATGAGACCACCTATTTAAATTTTGTTCGATACATTGTATAGTATTACTGCTGCTCTATTTGCGATTAATTATTCAGGTAACTGTGGCCCCATTAACGGACAGAATTTTTACGAAACCTAAAATGAGCGAAAATTACAACGCGCAGCGTATTTGCCTCATAACTTCAAAAGTAGCAAAGGTTGGAAGTTCAAATCGGGCGTGCAGTAAGTTCATACTTGACCCTCGATCATGCTAAAATATGGAAAAGATAGGATGGCTGTTTCCCCAAATTTTTTGCGTCCGAAAAATTGTAATTACTTTCGGTCCAATCTGATATCTTGTAGCTGATCAGCCAAAATTCAAAGTAAAATATTATCCAATGTCATGTCATGACTGTTGGATCCATGCAACGGCTAGAAAACCAATAAAACACGATTGAGCCGCATATGCCAATGTGATCAGCTGACACTTTCAAATCACCACAGAAGCACAATAATCTTTTATTTATTCAAAGGAAAAACATATTTCCTTTTATTATGGAGGGCGGTGGGGTGGTCGGCAGGGGGCGGCGGGCGGACGGCGTCATGGCGGCGTGGCGGCGTGGCGGCCGGCTGAAACAGGGTTCAAATTATCCGTAAAATTTGTTGTATTTTCAAACACCACCGGCATATTTAAGCATATTTGTAGAGTTCCTCATTATCGTTGTTTTTACAGCAATTTTACCCCAGCGAAAGCATACTGATTGGGGCAGCATTTCAAATTCCGATTCACACCCGCGTGGTTAGGGACATTACTTCCCCTACCAGCTTTGCTAGAAAAAAAAACCGCCTTGGAAAAATCCAAAAGAATCATTGCTAGCCTGCCCGTTTGTTTAATAGAGTCTAAGTCTAACTCACAGTTCGCCTCATAGTACACGTTGATCCTCTCGCGCTGAAGCTCCGAGTCGCCCTTGTATTGTCCGTCCGCCTGTACGCCGTGCTCGTCCGAGGCTAAAATCTAATTTTTCAAATATAGATAGCGGAATTATCTCCAACCCTTTTTTTGCTATTCATAAGCGTAAAAACTTTACGAATATTTGAGAAAAAATTAAAAAAATAGCGCTTCTTCGGCCAAAAGACCTTTTTGACCAAAATTCCGACCATTTGAAAATGTTTTGGAAATGTTAAAATAGTTTTCAGTTTTCATAGTTTCTTAAAAACGATTCAGTTACTGGGCTATGGAAAAAGTTTAAGTTAACGGCAAAATTAAGAAACCGGGCGAGCGGCGACTGGCGGGCTGGCGGGCTGGGCGGCGGCGGCGGAGGGGGCGGCGGAGCGGCTAAAAAGTGATTATTAAATTCGTATCTCCCGAGCTAGAAAAATGTTTGAGAAAGCCGGAAATTTGGCCATTTTCGATGGAAAGGTCAGTTTTTAGCTTAAGATGCAGTTGCGGCTCAGTATTTAAAAACAATATGGAAGCGCTTACGCTATCCTAGACTATTCTATTTTATTCTATAAAAACCTAGGTTTGCCCCGAAATCTTTGTTTAACAACAAAAATTAATCATCCCCAACTGGCGTCCACGCACCATCATCAAATGCCGGCTGGTGCGGACGGGGCGGGCGTCCCGGGGACGTGAGGGCCGGCGTCGCAGCTGAAAAGTTACTATTAAATTCATATAATTTGCGCAGAATATCAATCGCTAAATGATTAAGGCATTTAAACTCACCGACGGGGGCAGAGGCCTGGAGATGACCTCCCAGAACTTCGCGCCGATTTGGTTCCCACATTGCCCGCCCTGAATGGAAAGGTAAAATAATGCGCAATATTACCCCCATTAGAGCTTTCCAGTGTTATTTAGCCCTCACCGTTGTTTTTATGAGCTATTGGTATAATATTCCGCATCTTTCGCATGATCGGGGGGGATGTTTTTCTTAGGAACCAATTTTTGAAATATGGATACTCGCAATGTTTCTAAACTGTTTTTGCTATTCCTAAACGTAAAAAAGTTTTTAAATCAACAAAAAAAAAATGAAAAAACACTGATGTTCCGACCAAAAAAGGCCGTGTTTCGTAAACGTTTTGATAGTTTTAAAATGGTTTTCGAGCTAAAATGTAGCTTGATTTGACCCAAAAACATGAACAAGATCAGGCATGGTCAAAATGGGCCCGAATCGGTCCAATGCGGTCCGGGGTGTGTCCGATTTTGAATGCGAAATTTGCAAATTTCCATTCGTTTCGGTCATTTGCCTAGTCAAAGTGGTCTGTTTCCTTGCTTTGCATTTAAATTGCGGATTTCCGTTCCTGGTTTCCAAATATCCCAGCAAAGAATTGCGTTAATTGAGAGCTGTCCGGACCCAAAATGACCAACCCTGATCAAGATACTTTTTATTAAGTTATAGAAAGGGAATGGAGAGAAACGAGAGGAGAAAGGATTAAGACAGGAGCATAGCATCCCTCAGGGGTTTATATTTCCCTTAACGTCCTATGAGAGAAAAGAATGCAACCAACTTACCCCCGTTGTCCATACAGAACGTTTCGTCGGTATTTTCCAGCAGCTGGTGATTGAACGTCCACCAGCTGCCTCCCCGCAACCGCCCCTGAAAAGAGCAGCTACTTTTTTGGATGCAAAAAACTGTAAAAATTTTGACGCTATTTCTGGCATCCTCATCGAATTTTGATCATAAAAGAAGTCTTAATTATGAAAATTGTTCGGAGAATCCCCGAATTCGAGAGATTGAGTGCCTTACAAGCCATTACGACTTGTAATTACCGCGCCCCAAAAATTACCGCGTTTTTGCCCCAAAAACTTTTCGGTTTTACTCAAATATTGCGCGTTTTTCGCGCTGAAATCACTTTTCTGTTACTTTTCTGCAGTGTCCCTTTCGTTTTTTGACCAGTAGGTCCAATCACCGCATGTGCGAATTCTGACTTCCGAGCCCCTTTAATGACCTTGAATAAGGTATAATATTGCAGTTGCGTTACGGTTGGGCGCACGATTATTAGAAGATTTGCATACACACTGTCGAAAAATAGATTTCCGAAAAGCACGTTTTCGGAAACCAGGATTTCGAAAAGTCATTCTCCTAAAGTCATATTTTTGAAAAGAAATCGTTTAGAAAATTAGTTCTCCTAAAATGAAATTTCCCAAAATTGGCGTCCAGCTATCAATGGGACGTGTCAGCAAAAATATGAATAAGCAACGCAAATTTTTTCTTAGGAAACAATTTTAATTTTTGAAATATAAATGCCAGCAGTTTTTCTAAACTGTTCTTCTCTTTTATTTTCTAAGCGAAAAAGCTTTACAAATTAAAAAATGTAAAATATCGATTTTTCGACAAAAAATGGCCGTGGTTTGACCGAAATTTCGACTTTTTTGAATGAATTGATAGCTTTTAAATTTATTTAGAATGGGATTTACTTTATTTAAAACATGATCAAGCTACTTCCTATTCAGTTATTCAACATTGCTAGGCTTGTAGAAAATTTTTGGAAGTAAACGACGATATTTACAAACCAGCCGGGCGGGCGGGCGGCGGCTGGGGGGCTGTGGGGCTGAGACGCGGGGGGCGGCGGAGTGGCGCCTAAAATTTAACGATTAATTAAAATAGTAGCATAGCATCCCAAACCAGGCAACACACATACCCCCGTTGTCCATGCAGAACGTCTCGTCGGTATTTTCGAGCAGCTGGTGGACCGACTGTCCACCAGCTACCTTCCCCGCAACCGCCCCTGGAAAGAGAAGCTACTTTTTTGGAAGTACCTGTTTCAAAAGTGTTTTTGCTATTCCGAAACATGAAACCATAGACATTTTTACAAATCAAAACTATCGATTTTTCAACCAAAAAGAAATAGAAAAGAAAAAATAGAAAAAAATTGGTGATGCAATAATGGCGATATTTACAAACCAGCCGGGCGGGCGGCGGCGGCTGGGGGGGGCTGGGGGGCTGGGACGCGGGGGGCGCCTGACAGGGACGCCTTAAATTTAACGATTAATTAAAACAGGAGCACAGCATCCCAAAAAAGGCAACAAACATACCCCCGTTGTCCATGCAGAAGGTCTCGCCAGTGGTGCTGGTGCACCGGCTGTGCACCAGCTACCTTCCCCGCGCCTGGCCCTGGAAAGAGAAGCTGTTTGTTTGAAAGGCAACACTTACCTGATCCTTTGTTCGTCGGACACACTCAAGTGTACTTCATTTTTGGGCGCGAGCGGGCGGGGGGCAGCCTGCAACATTTAATGAATCCAAACCCCGTATAATCTAGTTACTAGATTGTATCTACTGATTTTGGCTGCTATAAGCTGCTCTGTTACGTTCCTCTCAAAGCGTTCAAG